GAGCAAAAAGTACATGGCATTCCCATGTACTCTGTCCCCCCCCGCCACATCCCCATGAGTTCTTCCTTTATGAAGTAGAGCTAGAAAGTGGTTGTGCCTCATGCAAACATGTAAAAATAAAATTATAATAAAGAAGACCCTGTTAATCCTGCCCTGTATCAACACCCCACTCGAGAGTGGTGCAAATCCACTGAGCTCTGCCTGTTTATCCCTCCCATCCCTCTAACCCTGGCAGCCATTGATCTTCTCACTGTCCTGATTGGGAGCAGTCCTAGAAACTCTTACCTGTTTGGGAGTTCAGAGCTGAGAAGCTTTCAGGTGTGCTCGCCACTTACTGATCAGTCACACAGAAAAAAGTCTTCTCAAGTAAACGAATGAGACTGTGCCGTTGGACTTACTCATGATCTCCGAAACAGACACATTTGGAAATGTTCAGAGGGAGCACAGCCTTGCAGATGGGCCAAGCTCCGTGCGTCCAGATTTGGCCAGAGTAGAAAGGTGGGGGGTGTGAAACAGGGGAGGCTGGATGGAAGTTGACCATTTGGGTTTAATCTAAGTGGGAAACATTTCAAGTGAGGAAATGATATACTTTTGTTTATGTTAAAAATATCATTTTGGCTGCTGCTACTGTTTGGTAAATGTATTATAGGGAGGCTGTATCTGTTTGGAATTATATCTGACTGCTGGTAACAAAAATCTGAAAAACAGTAATTTAAAGGGGTTTATAGCTTATTGACAACACTAGAGTAGGCAGAAGAAAGCAGGTGTAAAGTCTCTAGTGTGTCAGGAGAGTCCTGGTTTTTGTGGATTTCTACTTGGTGGCTTCAAGTGAGACCTTCATTTTTGTGTTAACAAAGTAGCTTCCAGAGCTCCAGCCATCGAATTCTGAGTTCCAAGCAGGAAAAGAAGGAGAGACTGAGGCAAAAATGCAAACACTAGCGGAGTCTGCTTCTTTTAAAGAGCATTCCTGGAATTCCTACCTCCAACTTCTTTTCATAGTTCTTTGGCCAGAACTGCCACTAGAGAAACTAGGAGATGTGGTTAGCTGGCCACATGGCCATCCCAGGTAAAATCAAGATTCTGTTAATGAAAATGAAGGGATGTAGATTCAGATACAGAAAGCTGATGACCTCTGCCCCAGGCAGCAAGAACAGAAGCAGGGTGAAGGGGTAGGAGGCTGTAGAGAGGTCAGGATGGAAGGTCAGCGTTGCTTAGATTAGAGTGGTGGTGGTGGGAAGGGACCTGAAGCGTGCTAGGTGGGTACCTGGCGCTTCCCAAGGCGTCAGCATCATCCGTATAGACAGCTCTTCTCTGGGCCTTGGTGTTCTGCATCTGTGTGGGATTTCTGCAGAGTATTTAGTGATCACTGGGCACTCCCAGATTGCTTAACAAGTGGATCACATTGGTAACACAGCACAGTGTAAGAGACCTCATCTGGCCTAGGCGTCTGGAGCCATCTCATGCCTCACTTCTCTACTGAGGGCAGGAGAGCAGGGTTCTCACCTAGGTCCAGGGCTGAAGGTGACGTGTCTCTTTCACAAGGTGAGTGCTTCTGAGAGCTCCTGTGGAGAGCGAGCACTCACGGCCACTCCACAAGGTAGCCTCTCTTCTTCCCAGCGCATCTGGTATTGCGTTTAGAGTTTGGGTTATGCTCTTGCTGCGAAGTGTCTGGACCAGCTGTCCCTCTGGATCCCCAGTGCAGGGCTCGGTGTGCAGACCAGCATCCAGTGCTATAAATAGTTGTATTGGCACACAGCCACACACTACCACAGGGAACTGGAGTAGTTGGGATAAGACTGTAGGACTCAAAAAGCTGATGATAATGCCCATCCGGCCCTTTGTGGAAAAGGGATGACACCTCCAGCCATTATCTGCCAGTCCTGCAGAAAATGAAGGACTGGATGCTCCTTGGCTTCGGAGGCTAATAGTCAGTCACGATGGAGAACAGATGCCAGGTGGACAGGGGCTGGTAAGCTGGGCCTCTGGGCTGGGAAGAGGAAGTGGCAGAGGAGGGAGCACTGACGAGGAAGGCAGGGAGCAGATGAGGCCCAGTGGTGCCCAGTGTCTCCCCAGGGGCCAGGTGTCTGCGGTGAAGGTCCCTGTGAGTTCATCCTTTATGAAATTGAGTTGGGAAGTGGTTGTGCCCCATGCACACACACAAAAATAAAAATAAAGAAGACCTTATTAAGCCTAGAGGGCTGTCAAGGACGAGTGTGCTTCCTGCTGCGCTTTGGGCCAGACAAGGACACTGGGGGCATAAGAGAGCACACAAGAGCTGCCTTCCTGGGCAGGAGGAGGAAGAGGCCTGAGAGGGCTTCCTAGAGGTAGTGACTTGACTAAGTGTAAAGGAAGCTGAAACTTTTCCCAAAACCATCTTAGGAGGTTTAGTTTGGCCTGAGATGTCAGGGAACAGGGTTGGGGTGGGGTGTGGGGGTGGAGGGTAGGCAGCTGGACAAAAGTGCTAGTGTATGGCAGGTTGTGAGGGGCGCCAAGGAGGCCGAGCTGGGAGAGGACTATGGGAGAGGGAGTGAGGGAGCCAGCTGCCCCTTGGACATACTTGAGGGATGGTAAAGTCAGGAGGCTGGCAGTGGCGGTGAGGTGAGGGGAAAGTTCTGGAGAGGAGTTTGGAGTATCAGTTGGACTGATAGACCTAGAGGTGGGTTGGCTTGGTAGAAATGGGAAGGAGAGAAGGAGGCGAGGATGGCCTCTCCCGGGTCCTCCGATAAGGGGCACAGGGTGATGGTGGAGGTGGGCTGTTCCGCCATCTTGAAGCTTGAAGAAGAGGAAACTCAGTGTGAGGAAATCAAGCACCAGTAGACCCTGTGAGGCCTCCAGGGGGACAGTGTGTCTGCAAAGTGCGGGGTTCTGCTGTAACTTAATTGTAGTCCCCAAATGTGCTAGGTAAGGTTCTGCCTCTACTTGGGCAGTGTGTCAATGTGAGCTCCTTCCTGAGAAGTCGCAAGGAGTCCATCTTAGTCTCAGCTGGGATCCTGCTGGGGCCCTGGGGTCGGGGCAGACGTCGTGCAGGGTTGCCCCAATTCACTGATCTGGAGCATCCAGAGCTGGCTGTCCTGCAGCCTACTGCAGGGGATCTTGCAGAAGGCGTGTGGGTTGGACGGGCGGGCATGGAACTAGGGCAGAGTGTGGGTGCCAGGAGGCCTACGTTCCCCAGCTCCATAGTTTCTCTGTTCAGCACAGGCCTGTGCTTGCATTCAGCGAGGTGCTTCTCGGTGACAAATCAGAGCAGAGCCCACAACCACTGTTTCCATGACGAGCAGACTTTTTGGGCAGAATTGGAGCAGTAGGGCGGTTGGGGGTGGCCCTGTGCACATCTCAGCCTCTGTGCAGCCGTCTGGCCTTTCTCTGTGGCCATCTTCCTTAATGAGCATTACAGGACTTGGGAAGCTGAAGTCTCCGAGGGAAACTGAAACCCTGGCTCTGCTCTCTTTCTTCCCATTGCATTACCAGCTGGGCACTAGTGGTCTACAGAGAGGAAGCTGGGCAGCCAGGAGGATGTGTTCCCCTGGTCTGGGTCCTTCTCTCTGTCCTGCATTTGTGCTGGGCTCAGGGACAGGAAGCTATGACTCCTGTAACTCCAGCTTTGTTACCAGATGTCTGGAGTGCGATGTCTGTGTGGGGCTGTCTCCCTCAGAGCTCCCTGTGTCCCTAGCTCCCTCTGCTCCTCAGCAGACAGAGCCTGTGGCTGGGGCTCTGTTGACAGCAGAACTGTGGAGGATATTGAGCAAACAGAAACGAGATGTTATTACCACACATCCTGACTGGTAACCCCTTCCTTTTTACTTTCTTCCAGAATTTCTTCAGAAGGTTGTAAAGAAGCCACCGTGTTTAAGAACAGAACAAAGAGGTCTTTGCGGTGTTGAGAGCCACCTGACCTGACTCAGCGTGTTGAGAAATGTGGGTCCTCACGGGTCACGACATCTACCAGCACATGGCCGTGCTGTGCATCATGGCCCTGGGGCTCTGAGCAGCATCCACTCGAACACCCACTGTGGCCTCTGCCCACAAGCATTTGCTTCTGAAGCCCCTGCTGCGGCCTGTGTCAATGAGGATGTATGCCCCCATCGGGGGGCTGCTCACTGCCCTCGCTGTGTTGTTTGGGACAGTGGCGGCATTTGCACCCATACCTAGAATCACCTGGGAGCACAGAGGTGAGGGCAGAAGCATGGCAGGCACTGAAAGCATCTGCTTGCGATGTTGAGATGAGGGTACTCCGTTTGCCGTGCTGGCTCCGTACTCTTCGCACTGTGTGTGAGCAGGGAGCTGTAGTTGTGTGTCAGAGGAGATGCTTCAGTAACTAGAAACATCTGCAGGGTTGTGCAGGGCCCTCTGATCTGGCTTCTAAATCAGGGGGTCCCTAAAAGGAAGTTTACCTCCCTGCGCCTGATGACATTTGGTGCCAATTGCCCAGGCACAAACTATACTGTGTCTTGTTTTGAAGACATTATGTACATCTGAGCTACAGGCCAGTAGTTGTCATTTGCTATTCATTAGTGTCTGTCGTATTTATTTCCTCTCTTGGGAGCTGTGTCTTGGGACCCCAGTCTGCCCAGCTCAGTGGCCCTGAGCGAGGTGAACCTGCAAGGCTGGGCTGTCCATGCAGAGCTCTGGGCAGTAGGTGGCAGTAGGTGGGAGGGCCTTCGTCCCATGTGGCTCTGTGTCTAGCACTGGAACTCAGAAGAGCAGGAAGTGTGAACACCTAACCTCTGAGTAAAACCAAAGCTTGGTAATACACAGAAAGCCAAGTTCACAACATTTGCATTGATGCTGAGATGGTCAAAAAGAAGAGACAGCTTGAAATAATGTCTGTACATTTATATTTCCCCTAATAGCTAACTTATATTCTTACTATTTCTAAATAGCTATTGGTACAATTACCTAATAAGGGGAAAATGTTACTTCTTTCTCTGTTTTCTAAGTTTGTGGTGGTTATCCCTGAAAAATGCTGGGATTAAGGGATATATTCACTGAAATAGATTTTATTAAAGGGTTTGAGGTAAATCTTTTTTTTTTTTCCTGAATAAGAAAACCCTAAGTAAATTCTGTACACAACTAATCTGTGGATGACTCAACACCCATAGACAAGAATATGGTAGGAGGCAGAGGAAGTTGCCACAACCAGCAGCTTCAGGTGTCTGGCCTGCAGACTCCTGGTAGGAAACAAGGTCACACTGCTGAGGTCACGCTACCAGGTGGTCATGCTGCTGGGAGGTCACGTGCTCAGAGGTCATGCTCCTAGGAGGTCACACTCCTTGGAGGTTACGCTGCTAGGAAGAGACACTCTTGGGAGATCACCTGCTCAGACGTCATGCGTTTGGAAGGTCATACTCCTGGGAGGCCACATGTTCAGAGGTCATGCTCTTGTGAGGTCACATGCTGGCGGGGGGGTCACAGTCCTGGGGAGTCATGCTGCCTGGAGACCACACTGAGTGCAAGGTTTGGAACTCTGGCCTAGAGGAAGCAAGACGAGAAGTTAGAACACAGCACCGGTCAAGCACAGTAGCTTCACAGGGGTTCCATGCACTTGGTGGCTGCCTCAGTCTGTTCCACCCAGAGGTGCCTGAGCTCTGGCGCCAGCTGGGGGCTGGCCACTGCGGCAGCAGATCCACGCCACAGCCCTGGTGGCATGGTAGTACACTAAAGGGAGACCAGATGCTCAGGGTGTGTCCGGGCTCAAAAATGCCTAATGCGCCCCTCTCCCTCCCCAACCCTCTCTCCCCAGAGGTGCAGCTGGTGCAGTTTCATCAGCCAGACATCTTCAACTACTCAGCCTTGCTGCTGAGCGAGGACGAGGACACCCTGTACGTGGGCGCCCGGGAAGCCGTGTTTGCCTTGAATGCGCTTGATGTCTCCCAGAAGCAGCAAGAGGTATGGCCTGGGCTCCCCTGTGGTCTGGGCCACAGATCTTTCCAGTGTTTTTTTCCTCGCATTGGCACATTTGGCTCCTCATGGGGTATCAGGCCCTCTCTTGGCTATGTGGCCCACTCACCCCGTGGCTGGCCTCATAGACATCCTGGGGCTAGGGAGCAGCCTCCCTCCCATCTAGGCTGAGGCCCTGTCATCCTGAGTGGGCTTCTTTTCTGTCCATGCAGCCTCATCTCGGGGTACCCAAGGATTGCACTATTTTCAGCTTGGATTTTTAAAGTTTTTATTATGGACAATCTCAAGGGTACCCAGGAGTAAAGGGAATAATGAGATGGACCCTGTGCCCATTGCAGCTCCTGCAGGCAGGGGTTGGCCCCTTGTCCTCCCCCAGTATCCTCACCCTCTGCTCCCTCTGCATGACTTGGAAGCAAATGCCAGACACACACTCTTCATCTGTGTTTCTCTGGGCATCTTCTAAAGGAAATGACTCATTTTTTCCCCAGAATAACCAAAATAGCATTATCGCATCCAAAAAATTAATGTCAATCAGTGTTCAGATTTCATAGACTGTCTCATAAATGATGTTTGACTATTCAGTTTGACTTCAGTGAGGATCAGGCCATCAGTGTCCCCAGGCACTATGTCCTTCGAGTCCCGATTTCCAGGAGCCACCCTGGGTCCCCTCACTGGGGGAGCCACTCTGCGGTCCTGTTGGTCCCTAGCCTTGATCTGGCTCCCAGTGTCCTTAGTAGACTCAGGGCCTCCAGCCACCGAGGCAGGTGCTCCTCTCCTGGCCCTTGACCACTGCAGTCTGGAGCCATGCGCACAGCAAACATTACAAAATGGAATGTTCTGAATCTGTCCTCCATCTGCGAGCCAGAAATGGCTTTTACAGGGGAGATGCCTGTCACCAGCTATTTGTGCCCCCAGGCCAGTTCCTCTGGAAATGATGGGATCAGGGCTTGAAATCTTTGCATGAGTTCTTGAAATACTGACTGAGTTCTTTCCAAAGGGAGACTGAGCTTTTTAATTCTTTGATTTTTTAGTATAACCGTGGACTCGTGGATTTAAACATGTTTGAAGTCCCTCGATCCGTGTACAGCCAGGTCCTCACCTGATGCTCACATTGTCCCTTCCCTTGCCATTGGCAGCCTTTTCTTAGTTCCCAAGTCCTTAGTTGTTGGTGTAGTTTTCTCAGTCTCTGAAATCAAGATGGTTCAGGCTCATCTTGTGCATTTTCTGCCCTAGACTTCTTATTTTTTGTTTTGTCTTAATCTCCAGAGTCTAGCATAGTGCCCAATTTCTGTTTGACAAATAAATGACATTCTGGTCTTTACCCTTTGAAAATAAAGTTCATGTGTAACCTCGTGGTTGCTTAGAGGTGGTCATTGCTCTGTTAATGGCATCGCTGTGGCCCCTTGGGGTGAGAGAAAGGCTTCAGGGTCTCCTACATGTAAAAGAGAGGAAAAAGTAAAAGGACCATGGCCAGGCTTTGGTGAAAGCCCTGTGATCAAGGGCCTGTCAAAATCATGTTCCCCTGACTCTGTGCATTGACTCATGTAGATCATAACGAAATTGTCTTCATTTTAATTTCTGAAGGGAATTGCTGTTCGAAATGGGGCTTAATCCTGCTTTTGTGTGTCCTGATTGGGACTGCCGTTTCTCTGAAAATATACTGTGCTGTTGCTGTGCCTGCTGTCCAGGTCTTGGCAGGAAGTCAAGTTAGTGTAGAGACACTGACAGGGATTCACTTCTTTGCCACTGAGAAGCCCATGTGTTTCCTGACCTCTGAGCCTGCACAGCCAGCTTCGATATTCTCTAGCGCATCTCTCTCCCTCCCTCCCTCCCTCCCTCCCTCCCTCTCTCTCTCTCTCTGTCTCTCTGTGGCATTAGTGATGGAATAGCACATGGGGAGTTGGGGCAGGTGAGTGGGAGCCTTTGGTCATGTGGTCTGTTGCTTTCCATCTTCTGCAGGACAAGTGACCCGCCTGCCTGACGGTCCTGATCATGTGAGAGAGGCAGGATCACAGATCTCAGCAGAAAGCACTCTGCCTGAGACGTGGTCACTCTGACACTCTCAACTGCTGTCATCACATAAAATTTATAGAACCATATCCTGCTCGTCCACTGATAGTTGAAATAAATGTCAAGGCTTCTTCTTTTTTTTT